ACATTATTTGTACTGCCCCAAGAGGTATAAATACACTTGGCTTTAGACCAAGTTAAAAGAATAACTAATTAATAAATCAATTGTTAATATTATTAATAACAACCTTGATAACAACAACTTAATAATAACTCTTAATAAATATATAACCTCACATAAAATAGTCTTTGACTGTAAGTAACTAACAAACCCAGCGTGGTTGACCCCCCGCCCTTCTAATGGTTGATGGTCTGGCTAACCTTTAATTATTAGTTGTGAACCCTTTTAAGTATTCAGATACATCTCAAGGGGACGCCTTTGGGATATAATCATTTACATAGAACCTAGGGACCCTTTTATCCAGGAATATAAAAGTTATTTTTATTATTAATCTTTGACTGTAAGTCAGCGAGTAGGCTGTGTGTTGAGCTATAAATAACCTATTAGTTAGGAAACTCGGATTGCATGCTCGCACTATAATTCTTGGGTTCCATAGTAGATCTGTTGTAAATGAGTTTCATATTAACTATTTTTATATAGATGTAATTCTATATATCACTTAAATAATAAATTATAATCACATTACAAATGACTAAATTTTGATCCCTGAAATTCTTGGTAATACAAATGTTCACTTTGTCTGGTTTTGTTGCAGTATGTCCCATATATAAATCGTGTGTAACGCGACAGTTTTGGGCTTAACATAGTAAACTTGTGCAACTTTGAGGCTTGATCTCTCCATGGTAATGTGACATATCAACAAAATGAAATCGTAGCTTTGTGGAGAAAGGTCTTAGCTTCAAAATCATGTTTTGTTTTTTTGGTGTTACATTTCCATTTCTGGTATACTAAAGGATATACAAGACCAATAAAAAGTTGTGGGACTAGGTGTCCTGCACTATATTTAGAAAAATTTAACTATATAGCTGATTTTGCAAAAAACTACCTCTTAGTGAAGAGAGCTCTGGCCCATTTATCTCAGCTGCAGCAGACACAATCAACCACAACATCCTCAATCAGAATCAAAGTGAAGATTTTCACTTTGATTACTATACACACCGATATGGTCTTGGAGAGAACGAATATTACAACTATCCTTAAAAGGGATAACCAGTTTCAAAAAGTCGAGTTAATAATTTTTTTCAAAGTTCGCGCAAAGGTGACTGTGCAAAAAGAAACCACGCACAAAACTCAAGTATTGACATTACCTCATGTAACTATCAACATTGATGAAAATATGTCTGGTACACATAGCTATGGATAGGGTGTCTTCTTGAGATCTTGGATTTCGACTTTTCTTGTATATATAAAAACTGATCAGTCTGTGATTCAAAATACAGATGATTGAAAAGCGTGAACCAAAGAGGTCTTGGCCAAATTAAAAAGTTGCAAAAGCAATTAATTAATGCTTAATTAACATATATGAGAGCCTTGAATTTGTATTATATACAATTTATGAACAAAAATACTAAATGGATTGATTTTTTCCAATTTGAAGATCGTTAATATTAAAAAAATTAATAAATAATAGGTAGTATGCCATGAAGGGTTGATGCTGTTTTAGAAAGTAGAGGAAACCCAACAAGATATTAAATTTTTTTTAATAAAATATAATCAATTTAAAATAGTTTCATCTATTTTTTAATGTCTTTTATGTTTCAAATAGTGAGCAGTTTGTATATGGTGCAAGTCACCTAGTCCCGCAACTTGCTGCGCCTCATGGCCAATTTTGGGAAAAAGCATCAAAACTCAGAAATTGTAAGTTATGCTCAAAAATGCAATAAAATTTTATATCATGTGACCTTTAATGGTGATAC